AAAAAAAAAAAAAAAAAAACACATCTTAGTAAAACTAATACCTTCTCAGCTTCGCACCGAAGCTAAATTAAATAAGGAATTTTTTAAAGTTAAAAAGTATTGTTAGGTTTCAAGAAAATGAAATTTAAGATAAATAAAACAAATTTTACAAATGTACGAAGTCAATATTATATAAAGATCTAATAATTAATAAATAATCAATATTTTATTTTTTCAAAAATTTTAATACTTAAGAATCAAAAATATAGTAATTATTAGATTGTAAATTACTATATCAATTTTAATGGTTAACTAATCAAAATTAGATTTTAACTTAAAGAAATAAACTCAGAAAAAAACCAAAACTTTGAATTCAAATTAACCTGATAGCTCATACTGTAGTAATACTTAAATATTATAATTTTATAAGATTCATAATAACCCAAAAAACCAATACTGAAATCAACAAATATTATTTTAAGGTCCTAGAAAAAGTTTCTTAATTTATTTTTAACTTATTAAATAATACGTTTTATTTTAATATTATCATCGCTTAAGATGATCATATTAGCTTTTCAAGAGAACAATAAAATACAACTAATCCTTACATAGTATTTTTTTAAATTATACCCAATATGGTATTGTTACATATATGTTTGTTTTAGCTCACCTAACAAAAATTAAAATAACATAGGGTTACTAACTCAATTTGACCAATAAGTGAGATATCGGTATTGTATCTTAAGCGATGTTATATTACTTTTTTATTTCTTCTTCATAAATTGTTTTTAATGGTGTAGTTTCATCTTGTGCTCTTCCTTTAATAGCATGTAAAAATGCACGAGCTTGCTTTTCTGCATTACTATTAGTAGATGGTAAATGATTATGACCCCTAGAACGTGTTATAGCCATTGTATTTTTATTTAAATGTGCACGTCCAGGACATTTTTTTTTCCCCCAAACTACACATCTCAAGTACCTATTAAAAAATATAATTCAGAATTATAATAAGAATACATGTGAATGTGATTTTTAAATGATAGTTTTTGGTTTTAAAAATTATTACAAACTTTTTATCATTTTTTTCATTTTGAATCTGATAGCTATATCCCATATTGTCAAAATATATTGTTGAATCAATCCGCATTTGTAAAAAGCCTAATTTTCTTTTTGATTTCTTTTTGACATTTTGTTTATTCAATTTGTTCACTTCCAAAAAATCAGACCGATCATTTTCTACTGAATTACTTTCTGAAATTATACTGGGTACTTCTTGATTAATTGATTCTGAGACATCATCACAATTTTCAGACACAATATTCTGAGTTTCAGAGTAATTTTTGATAATTTCTTTAGTACTAATATGTGTATTATTTTTAGAAGATGCAGTTTTTTGTTTATTAGAAGTAATCAATTCATCTTCTAATATTTTAAGTGGTTTATCTTTAAATTCAATTATTTTAGATTTTTCATTAGGAACAAATTCATAAATTTGTGCTTCTTGCCATTTATTACAGTAAATACAACCTAAAATAATTAATTATTTTTATAATTTATAATTAAATTTTTAAGTTGTATTTAAACTTATATTCATTATTATTCTTCATAGTAATTTAATTCTTGTAATAAAATTGGAATTGTTTTTTAAAAGTAAATTGTCTTATTTACTCCAAAACCATTAAAATAATTATTTATATTAAACTTTATTAGCTTTTTAATTGAATCAATCATTAAAAAATAAATAAAATAAAATAATTCACTGATATACAAAAACCACTCGGTTATTCCATATAATAATAATTGATAAATTTTTAACTTACAAAACATATTCACAGTTTTTTCAGGTTGTGTGTTAAGGGACATGTTTTCTTTATTTTCCTTGATACTTAATCCTTCATCTTGATTTATACTCTCCTCACCTTCAACAAACATATCATTTACTTCAATTACTTCCATGTGACTAGCTGGGTCAAACTCCTCAGTTGATTCATCAGTCTTATACTCTTCACTATTATTTTTGTCTATACTTAGAATGTTTTTGTAATCATTTATGGCATTGAGAAGCTCATTATCTTCAATAGGAAATAAAGGACCTTGCATTTTTTGTGGCTGACGAAATCTTTGCATTCTTCTAGCGGTACTTGGAAATGAAACTTTACCACGTAACTTAGGAGTTCTAAAATGAAACAATTATTATTTTTGTATGGCATAGACAAGTGGGATAGGAATTTATTAATACTCAGTTAGATATTCTAAAAATTATCATCTTTAATCTTAAAGAAACCCGTTTCTTTACTTACTGAATACTTTATACATGTATTATTTATCTTATATATATATATATATAAAAAATAAAGAACAAACTTTTTAAGTTCTTCATCAAATATTTTTCTATTAGGTGTATTTTCACTGATAGCTCGTTCTCTAATTTTCATTAAGAAATTTCTTTTTAATAATTCATCTTCATAATTTCTTGGTTTATGTGTGTGTGGTTCACCAGAATGCCTTATCATGTTATCTTGGTTACGGATAACTGCTCTAGCTGGACAAGGCTTATTTTTTATACTTTTTTGTGTACATTTTAAATACCTAAATAGAAATATTAATAATATAAGAAAAACTTTTTTTTATATATAAAATGTTTAATTAATAAATGAGTTATCTAGTTGTAAAAGGAACCAAATTTTTTTTGTTGAAGCTTATAACTAGTATGGAAAAGCTAAATTAAAAAAAATTGGTTAGACATACATCCTTTTATATAGCCCTTAGCATCATCTTATCCTTTTAGCCTCTTTTCCAGCTATTTGGAATCGGCTCTATTTTAAAAATTTGATAGGATTTTTACATTGGATTTTGACCTAACATAACTTCATAAAGACTGAGGAGGTAAGACGTGAGTAAATAAGTTGCATATGTTTACACATCAGAGAACCAAGAGTAAAAAACTCAGCTGAATATCAATGCTACAGAAAGGAATAAATGGTCCACTGCACCACACCTTATGCTTTTAAACATATGTTTAAACATATCTTTTAAACATTATATTAAAGATGCACTACAAAAATTTTTCGTATTAATTAAATTTTATTACTTCTTATTATTTGCAATTTTATGATTGTGGTAAGCATATCCATTGCCATCATAATAAATAATGCAATTAGGTCTTAAACCAGGGGCAGTCCTAACGGGTGTCCAAATAGATTGTTCTAACTTTTTCCTTGTTCTAAGCCTTGTTTGTGGTCCAGGTTTAGGTACAATATAATCAGGATCATCAGATAAAGATGCAGCATATTTAGAGTCATCATTTTCACTGCTAGATGGTTCTGATTTAATTTTATTATCATCAACATTGTCACAGTAATTATGATCTAAATTAAAACAGAGGTTTTACTGTAAATACATTTTTTAATACTTAAATAAAAATAATTTTTACAGGTCATTTCTAATTTTTTAAAACATAAAATTGAGCATCTCATTTTTTGAAAGTTTGAAAATTTAGAAGTATTTGCTAGTAATTTGGAGAGTATAGGTAAAAAGTACTGTCTCTAAAAATATTTTTTAGAGATTTAAATTAATACATTTTTATGACATATATTAAAAAATTAAAAATATATTTATTGATTTTAATTTTTAGTATTAATTACAAATTGATAATTATTTTTATTACAATTGATATTTTTACTAACATTCTTTGACAAACAATTAATAAACGTTTGATTTGGTAGCGATAAATATTTTGAAATATTCAAATTTAGTAAAAATGTATTTTTCGTATCATTCTTTAATGTTCATTCAAATAAAGTTTACAATTCAATAAAACTAATTTAACTTTCTAATGTTAAGTTAATCATAAACCTATTCATTTGATCATTTTTTAAAATATTAGGGCGTTAAGTATAAAGATTACTGATTGTTATATTATTTCTTTTATTCAATTTTGTTTAAAAAAAAAAAAATTGTAACGCGAGGGGTAAATTAATAGTAAATATTTTTAAAATTAGTACGATTTTCACGAACAAAATGTTATGTCCCCATAATGGAGGACAACTTGAATATGAGCTTACCTGCCATTCCTGCAGACAAGTAACGAATAATTTTTTATAATTCTTTTAATGATATATGTAAATTTCTTTTTAAAGTATTAATCATAAAAAATGATGTTGCAAATTACTCCAGAACACTAAATATAATTTGTTATCACGAAATATGGACCATCAGTATTTCTTATTTAATTTTATAATGAATTGCGATAACATCAAAGCGTCATTTGGTCAGTGTGTGATATAGAAACAAAACGATAGTCAACACCTCTTTGACCCATCGACTGTCGACATTTTCAACTTGCACATTGTCGAGATCGAGTTGCGACAACTGCATAGTCGTCGACTACCTCAACTAGCGTTATCATATCAACATTAATACCACAACAAACACAAATATATTACATGAGAGCAGTGGTTGCACTGTAGTTTTATCGAACGATCTGCTAAGTTTTTTTTTTTAATTCTATATATTGTCTTTGAGGTATGCTCGAATATCTAAAGGGCTTCGCGAAATCTTATATATATAAAATCTAATGTCAGATTTTTGTCCGCGATGGACGCCGAAACTACTGAACCGAATTTTATGAAATTTGGCATAAATGTGCGATTAGGTCTAACTTAGAACATAGNTTTTATTCTTTATTGACAAGTCCTTAAAATTGAGAATTATAATGAAAATAAATTATTTCTATAATGTCACAAATTATTTAAATTAAATTTAATTATAATAATATTCATAGTTCTTAAATATTAAAATAATTAGTATTAGTTTCAAATAATGCCAAAAAAGTTTCATAAACAACAAATGAAATATAATTTTACTGAACTTAATTGATTATATATGAATATATTTAATATATTATATATTTTAATGTTATTAACATTAAAAATGATCAATTAATGCTATCAAAATATAGTATATTCTTATTTTAAGTATACATAATAACAATGTGATATAATGATTAATTACTTATATAAATATAATTATAAACATTTTAAATGTTTCAGATACGTATCATTCGTATGAATAATAATAAAGTAAAATAAGATATTTTGTTTCAACAATACAACATATTGATTACTTTAATTTATTCATATAATTGTTGCATTCGTATATTTTAAGATGAACTTTATTAGACTACCCAGTAGTATCTTGAATATTATAAAATATAAAATAATGTTATATTTCAATAATAAGGTAAGTATTGAAATTTTTATTACTTATTGTTTTGTACTTATAAATACCTTTCGTACACAGCATTACAATTAATTTCCACGATGATAATAATAAATCTGACTATATTTCCGCCAAGACTTATAAGTTTATTAGTAAAATGAGTAAAATATTAGGTGCATTTCTTCTTCTTTTTGCATTCGACCATTAAGATCATACATTCAAACATATATCTTGCCATTTCACCATATCCATCGCTAGTACATTCCAATTGGCACTTGGGTCTATCATTTGTACATCCTTCCTGACTTGGTCTTCCCATCTTAGTCGGGGTCGTCCCAAGGGTCTCTTTCCTTGGGGGATCTCACATTGAACCATTCGGATTAAAGTTCCTTCTTTTCTCCATGCATGTCCAGCCCATTGAAGTCTCCTTTTTTTAATTTCTCTAATTATATCAGGCATTTGGTACAGCAGTTTAAGTTCCTCGTTTTTTCGAATTCTCCATTCCCCCGTGGTCTCATCTATACACGTACCAAAGATCCTTTCGAATATCAGTAATCTGTTTTGATCTGATTTCCGTAATGTCCATACTTCACAACCATACATTACCACTGGACGGATGAGGGTGCGATACAGTTGTATCTTGAGGTTCTTTGATAACGTTCTCGCTTTTAATAACTTACTTAGTCCATAGTAACACTTATTACCGGATTGGAGTCTTGCTTTTATTTCAATATGTTCATCGTTTTTTTGTGTCAATATTGATCCCAGATATTTGAACTCTTGCACTCTCTGAAACTTGTACTGCCCAACTTCCAAAAATGGCTGAACGTGATCCGCGAGCTCTCCTCTCTGCACAATCATGTACTCAGTTTTTTCATTGTTTATTTCTAAACCTATTCTTTTTGCCGTATCTAATAGTTTTCCCGCTTGCTCCCTGAGATTTTCCTTCTTTTCCGCAAGTAATACTATATCGTCTGCGTAGGCCAATACTCTTATTATGCAACCTCCCAAACGTACACCGTTATCTTCAATACGGCTCTCCCTGATGACCCTTTCTAACGCTATATTAAAAAGCATGGTTGACAGAGCGTTCCCTTGTCTCAAACCAGTCGATACTGGTATCCCTTGTTACACAATATTGCCAACTCTGATCTTGATTTCCGTGTGTAGGATGTTTGCTTTGATCAGATTAATTAATTTCTGGGGTAATTTGAACTGTTTTAGGTGCATTTAGTTGTTAATTAATGATAAAATGTTTTTATTTATATTTATAAAATTGAAGTGTTATTAACATATAACATTATTTTTTTTATTGCAATTATTTTATATTTTTATTGTACCGGCTAAACAAAAAATAAATTATTTAATAAAATAAAGTAATATAGATATGTAAACTTTAAAATGCTTCAACTTAATAATTATTTTATTTCTGTATATCACAAGTGTAAAAGTACATATTGATTTAACAAAACAATCTGGGAGATAAATTGTTTCTATATCTTATTTTTTTGCAAATGCCTCCACAAAAATGAAAAAAAACAATTTTGAAAGTTTGAAATAGATTAAATAGCCAATTTTATCTTCAGATAAACGTATCGAGCTATTGCCAGGTTTACACCTATGATTCCAGTGCTCTAGATACGATGTTCATATCACACAAAGAATTTATGTACTTTTTAAAAGTATTTTGTATAAAAAAATGAATAAATTATTTTTCAGTTTTAAGAGGCTTACACACTAGGCGTTGAAACGCCCGCGTACGCGTTTTTAAAAACGCGGCGATTAATCGCTTTATATAAAACACCCGCATTTAAATTGAACCATGGGCACGTGAGGGTTCATTCAATCTATTTTCACATATTATGTTGGATTCATTTCCTTTTGTCTTCTAACTATCATGTCTTTTGACACAGAAAATTTTATTAATTCCATATATTTGGAAGAGTCAATTTGGAATACAGGTAAGTATTAAATAAAGTACATGAATATATATATATATATGTTAATAAAATTAATACGATCATGTGTATTAGCTTAATACATTTCAATTTATATAAGTACTTTATACTTTAAAATTGAATATTAATAGGGGAAAATATTATTATTAGTATATATGTATAGTTTTACATAGGAACTCATTATGGAATTACTTCAAATAATATAAATCATAAAAATTAAATTTTGTCGAACATTTTATTTGAAATTTTTTATTTTAACTTTTTGTGGGAAGTATTTATATAATTAAAAAAAAATGGACAAATTTATGGGTTCATATTCTGTATATGCAGTTCTTATACGTTTTATTAATTGTTAAAAATTAGTTGATCAAGTTAATTTATAGTTTCAACTAGAAACATTTTGTGATCTTTTGACTATCAATATCAGTCAAGTGGGAGCTAATAAAAAATGGTCACAGCCACAAAAAAAAAAATTTATATGTTTTTTACATTCCTATGAATACCTATTTTTTTATAATTAGGACCACCTTAATATTTTTAAATTATACTCACAATACATAATATCTTTATAACATAGCTATTTTAGCAAACATTGTCGTAGTTTTAATATATTATTTTGATTTCAATAAGGGCGGTCCTACAGATAATTTTAAGGAGGGTGTGGATTGAATTTTGCCAACTGTTAGTGATAAATTTGCCGACTAAATTAATTCAATGAGTCAAAGTCCACATTATTAACAAATATTTAATACTTTTACCTCAATGTAACTGTAAGTCGCTCTTCTGGTGGTATTGATAATCTTAAACAAGTATCCTCTTTTTGGAGTTTTGATCCAACTAATAGAATCTTTAAATTTTAGATAATTCATATATTTTTTTTTAATTTAATATTATATGAGATTTTATTTAATTATTTTATCCATTACATTACTTAAAATACTTAACAAAATAATTTAAAATCTTTTTTGAAACACATATTTTTTTATATTGATCTAAACTAAAGTTTATAGATCTAATTTTTGGTTAAACTAAAAAAAAATAAAGTTTTAACTTAAAATCTACTTAAAATTCTTTATTCAGCTATATGGTCCAGTGGGATAACTGTGAATAGAGATCATTGTAAAAAAGACTGTCATTTTGAACCAAATTAACAAACATAAATTTGAATATAAATATTTAAGTAAACAATTTTTCTTTCATAAATGATATCGGTAAAATTATTTTTGAGTTTTTTAACTTGTTTTTTAAAATGTCTTACAAACTTTTCCTGATTAATTGGGTTTAATGTAAATTTCTTTAAAATAAAAATATAAAATTAAATTTTTTTACAAAATTCAATGTCCTAGAAATATAATTTGTTAATTATGTTTAATGTTCGTCAGTCTTCTTGCGATGTTTACAAATACTCCATTTACCATAAAAAAATTATAGTTTATAAATGTGTGTTTTAATGTTTTATAATCATCCAGGAAATACTTAATTAGCCTTTTTATGGCAAATATATATATTATATATATTTGCCATAAAAAGGCAATTAATATATTTTATATACATATTTAGGTCTAGTAGTAAAATTAAAATAAAATGTTTTTGAATATAAATGTTATAAATGAATATAAAATGTTGAATATATTTTGTTCTGTACGTGTAAGATAATAACTAAAAAACTTAAAAATTGAACAAACTAGTGTTGAATTATGTTATTGATTTAAATTAATGATTGTAAAATAATGAATTAAAAATCTTTCTAGCATACAAAGTATAATTATATTATTACACAATTGTACACGAAGTGGTGTTTTTGGGGGTATTTGCGGTATACTTATTAACAATTGTTTTAATAAACGTATACCATAGAAAAATAATAAATATATAATATTTATATTGTAAAGTATAAGCTTAAAAATAATAATACACCCTAAAATAAAAGAATGGATTTAATGAAAATACCATTTCAAATACATGTCAGTATTAGTCGTGATGTACTAAGTATTCAGTCTTGAGGGAATGTACAAATAAAATTGTTTATTTCCCCCCTCAAAAAATTGGATTTTCACAGGGTAATTATTATTATATGAGGTAATCCTCCTTCATAATGACGCCCTTGAATATAAACCTGCTTTGTTCAAATTAATGAATGTTTTTTTTTATGTTACAGTTAAAAATTTTAAAATACAGTAAATAACTCAACTAACCAATTCATCAAACGAGCGTATAGACATACGGTAGTACCTGAAGAATTCTTCAGGATAACTCCTCAAAGTTAAAAAATTAACTTGAAATTGACCTTCTCGAGGTCTTTTTTAATTTAGGGGGTGAACCCAATGTTTACGAATAGTTGTTTTTTTATTTATTTTATGTTTTTTTATACAGCGTAGATACATGGCGTATACAACGCATGCAACTTCAACATCATCTAATGTATCCATACTTATTTTAACTAATTTTATACTTTAAAAAATAAAAAAATATTCAGAGCAAATGCTACNCATTTCAAATACATGTCAGTATTAGTCGTGATGTACTAAGTATTCAGTCTTGAGGGAATGTACAAATAAAATTGTTTATTTCCCCCCTCAAAAAATTGGATTTTCACAGGGTAATTATTATTATATGAGGTAATCCTCCTTCATAATGACGCCCTTGAATATAAACCTGCTTTGTTCAAATTAATGAATGTTTTTTTTTATGTTACAGTTAAAAATTTTAAAATACAGTAAATAACTCAACTAACCAATTCATCAAACGAGCGTATAGACATACGGTAGTACCTGAAGAATTCTTCAGGATAACTCCTCAAAGTTAAAAAATTAACTTGAAATTGACCTTCTCGAGGTCTTTTTTAATTTAGGGGGTGAACCCAATGTTTACGAATAGTTGTTTTTTTATTTATTTTATGTTTTTTTATACAGCGTAGATACATGGCGTATACAACGCATGCAACTTCAACATCATCTAATGTATCCATACTTATTTTAACTAATTTTATACTTTAAAAAATAAAAAAATATTCAGAGCAAATGCTACCACGAGGAATCTGTTATGATTATACTGTAGCTTTTGGCGGGCTAATTTTCATTGTAAAAACGCGTCAAAACGCTTATAGTATGCACATGAACGGCGTTTGCGTTCAAAACGCCGCGTTTTTAAAAACGCGTACGCGCGCATTTAAACGCCTAGCGTGTAAGCCTCTTTAACAAAACATTTAATTAATTTTCTGAATTTTTTTATTTAAAATACTCGTTTTTATCAACACACAATAGGTAAAAGGTTTTCATTCAGGAAGATAAAAAATCAAACTTGTATTATACACCTTTTAACACAAGAGGTGATTTTATTTTTAAAATTATATTAAAACTACGAGTCTCATAAAAATATTTGGAGAAAAAAAAAATGTTCAGAGAAATTTCTTTTATCATTATTGATAAAAAATCTGATTTAGTCAAATTTTGAGATGCATACTATAAGCGACGATTTTGATATGTTATCAGTAAAATTTATCAGTTAAGGGATGTGTACAACGTAACGTTTATCGTACACGTATTCGGGTTTAGTCAGGAAAATTCCCAATCTAGGGCCGTGAGAAAATTGAAGCGCACGCGCACTACAGCCAATTGACGCGTATCACAAAATCCTCGATTGAGACAGTTGCGCATGCGTAGCGGTATTCATCTCAGTCCGGAGTAGTAATTTCTGTTTTTTCAGTCTCGTTATAAGAAAAAATATTTACCGACGTGAATTCTTTATCGGGAATTTAAAAGCTACAAATTTATCCAACGTTATTCATTATAATGTTGGGTAAATGTCTACCTACCTGATTGTTTATCAACGCATTACCGACCTCCTTTGGTCTCGTTTCGTCTATAATCTATGTGTACTTAGTGAAGTGCGTGAGCTATTGAAAGTGCTTACCGGATAATTCGTTGCTTACTAAGTGCAAAACGATGAGATATTTGAAATTTTATTATTATTTCATCTTTTAGTCATGTAATCAAAACACGTATTTACTGATACACATGAAAAATTTCAAGTATGCTAGTTAAATTCGTTTTAGTTGTAAAGTATTTGATGTGAATTTTAAGTTTTAATTGTTTAATTACATTGAAATTAATAGCTGTTTTATTAGAAATAACATAATTAACTTTAGACTAATGTAACTAAAAAATCAAATAAATATATTTCATTATTTTCAAGTTCCTCTGTTTAATTTTTAATTTATTTCTAATAGAAATTTAAATAATAGATATTTAGAAATTTACTCACTATTTTGTGTATAAATTACATTTTCTGATAACAAAAATTTCTTAATAGTTTATTAAGTTTTATGTTTTTTAGAAGAACCTCTAATTTATTTAATATGCTAATAAAATAATATTTATTAAAATTTTATTCTTGCACATCTACTTATTTAATACAAAATCTTAATTATTAAATTTGATATTTACAATTTACTACTTTTAATTATTTTAAGTTGAATATTTTGATATATAAAATATTTGAATTATTTCATTTAAAATATTTGCAAACATTCCTTCATGTTTCACAATGTCATGATTTTCCTACTTTTATTGTTTACTCAATCAAAGGTTCAATTTTCATATCACAAATATAAGGCATCTTGTATTATAAATTATTTAAACCTCATTTAATCTCTAAATTTATTTAATTTTATCATATATTATAAAAATTTTTATCAATAATAAATTTAAGTTTGAATAAGTTAATTAATTTTTAATTTATTTGTAATATTTCAAAGCTAGAACAGAAGAAGAAAAATTGAAGTTTTTATTAGATTTAGTGGTTTTAGAAAAATATTTAGTTATTGAGCTCTTTTTAACATCAATATAACACATTGTGTATTTATTTTTTACAGTATTCATAAACCAATTAGAGTTGTTAATAGTAAACTTAGAAATTTTCATTAAAAAATCATATATATCATTTTTGCAAAAATAGTGTTTTACATACTTTACTTTAAGCAATTAATTTATTCTTTTTTATATAAATAAAAATATTAAAATATTTTGTAATATTATTAATGTTATGTTATATTATATTTGTTTAGATAATCAATGACACAATTTGTTAGAGCCTAAATTTTAGGTGACATGGGTGAAGGCAATCAGAGATACATAGTACAAGTATTTGTAGGTGCACTATCACAATGCTATGAAGCACTTAGTGTAGAAGCTAGTAAACAAACTACTTCAGATGAAATTGTCAGTTGCATTGTAGAACGCCTCTCTTTATCGGGAGGATGTGGTACAGGCTATGGCGGTACTTTTGAATTAGCTGAAGTAGTTGGAGATGCTCTTGGTCGAGAATGTAAAGAGCGTAGGCTTGGTCCTTTAGAATGTCCGGTGGCTGTTATGCTATTATGGCCTCAGCCTCGTAGAAATACACAACAAGAATATTATAGGTATTTATTAGTGATGTTACAAATCGAACTTTCAATCTTAAAATCAAATCATATTTAACAATTTTTTTTAAAATAAACTAATAAATACATTTTTTTAAACAAAACCTGGAATATGATTAAAATAATTTAATGCAGTGTTTAAAAAATAATTTTATAATAAACAAAGTAAAATTTAAATAAAACATTATTTCAAATTTTTTACATCGATATGCACTACAAATAAAGCAGTAACTCACTTTTCAGGATATCAAAAATAAAAATTACTCTTTGATTACATGTTATATGTTAATTAATTTTCTTAGCAGTTTAATTCCAATTCAATCCAAATTGTTTATATTTTAATGAAAGTTATTGTAAGAAGAGTAAAATCTAATTCAAATACCTTATAATCTTAAAATGGATTTTTTTAAGTTACTATTTTATTTGTTGTGCATAGCGATATGTAAATGATATTTTTATACTGTTTTGAAGTACTAATAGGCAAACTGAAAAAATGTTAACACATTTAAGTAAAATAAAAATAATTTACACCAAAAACAGAAATTAATTTCCCAGACTCAACTGTTCACTAAACAAAATTAGCCTATTTTAACTATTTATATGGAGTATGATATTAACATATATGGACTTAAAAAATACTATTAAATAAAAATGACTTAACAATGAATAAAATATCATACATACCATTATAATACACAATTATTTTTCATTGGTTTAATTAGTAAACTAAACAATAAAATAAAGATAATAATTTTAATAATATAAACAATTATATTTAACACATCAATCCCTCAGATATGCAAAAATTTTAAATTATAAATAAATATTAAATTTCCATTTAATATTAACAATAATCAAATTAAAAATATCAAGAACATATAGCAGAAATAAAATTTAAAAAAACTAATCCTAAATCAAACTTTAAAATTCTAAACCTTTAAATATTTTACACGCTTAAACTCAAACTAAACATTAATTTTAATAATGTTGAGGTAAAAAAATTTTTATATTATTATTCGTCAAAATTTAGGATAATATTTGATTTTACTTGTTTAATATTAAGCCCAGATTTACAAAGGAAAAGTTTAGTTCAATTTTTTCAAATTCTAAGTATAATTTTTGAACCTAAAGGTTCGGTTTAAAATTGATCAATTCAAATATTACTCAAATTTATATATGTTTAAATTGATTTTTATTTAATAAATTAATTTTTACAGATTTTATTTAAGAGAAAAATTATCAGATAATTTATGGGCTGATGGTTTTACCATGGATCCACAACTTATACGAGATTATTTCTATAGATTTCTTTATCAACCTCAAGATAGAGAGTACCCAGACCTTTGTCAGCTTCCAGATCTCAATGAACAAACACTTTTAGATAACCTCAGGGCACGATTTATTGCTGGACATATTTATACTTATGTTGGGTCAATTTTAATTGCTGTTAATCCTTTTAAGGTAGTATAAAAACTAACTCATTAATTGTTGAGCTTATTTTTCAAGGAAATATTAAAACTCTTCACAGTTAATTTATTTTTGAGATTTTAAATATGTACATAAAAAAATTATTACTGGCTAAGCTATATTTTATAAAAATATTAAGGCCTGTTTGATAATTTGTATCATTTAAAAAAATTGACTTATATTTTAAGAAATAATTAAAGGAAAACATTTTTATAGTTTCATCCAATATATAATCCAAAATATGTAAAGCTGTATCAAAACAGAAGACTTGGTCCAGAATTGCCTCCACATATATTTGCAATTGCTGATGCAGCATATCACTGCATGCTAAGGGAAAGAAAAAATCAGTGTATTGTGATAAGTGGAGAAAGTGGTAGTGGTAAAACTGAATCAACTAATTTTCTTTTACACCATCTCACTGCATTGAGCCAAAAAGGAAGCCACGGTAGTGGAGTTGAACAAACAATACTTAGCGCAGGTCCAGTATTAGAGGTTGGTTTTTATACAAAATTTTATTTAAAATAATGTGAAATCTTACATTTGTAATTAAATTTGAAAAAATGTTATATTTAGGCTTTTGGTAATGCTAAAACTGCTCATAATAATAATTCAAGTAGATTTGGTAAATTCATTCAGGTAAATTACAAAGAAAATGGAATGGTACATGGGTAAGAACAAATAAAAAAATAAAAAAAAACATCTTTTTCATTTTAATTGATTTGTATAATTTAATAAATGTGTTTAGAGCGGTTGTACAGAAATACCTACTAGAAAAATCTAGAATATGTTCTCAAGGTCAAAATGAGCGAAATTATCATGTGTTTTATTATTTATTAAATGGGGCAAATGATACTGAAAAAGAATCTTTACACCTCCATAAAGTAGAATACTATAACTATTTAAATGGGGTAATTTATCTAAAAAAAAAAATCACAATTTTACCTAAATATATTTATTTTTATTTCAGAGTGGTTGTTATACTTTGGGAAATTTAGATGAAAAATATGAATTTTCTAGACTAAAACAATCAATGGAAATGGTCGGGTTCACCCCAGAAAAACAACGTAGATTGTTTGCTGTACTCTCTGCTGTTTTACTTCTAGGTAAAAAAAATTATTATTTTAATGAAAATCCTTTTTAAGCTATACATTTCTTTTAGGTAATGTTGACTTCCAACCTCGGAAGTCAGCATATCATCACGATGAAGCTGTTGCTGTTCGTAATCCTGAAATAGTTTTTTTGATTTCTCAACTTTTAAGAGTAAAACAAGAAACTTTACTAGCTGCATTAACAGCAAAACGAGCTAAAGCTTCTGGAGAAACATTAGTAATAAATTATAAATTACCTGAGGTAATATTTTAATTTTTATAATAGTTAATTGTTTAACACTATTTACTTTTTTTAAATTATTATAAAGGCTATAGCAGCTAGAGATGCAATGGCTAAGTGTCTTTATGGGGCTTTATTTGACTGGATTGTTTTGCAAGTTAACCATGCTTTGTTATCAAAAAAAGATACTTTAAGAGATCACCAAGGAAATTCTATTGGAGTTTTAGATATATTTGGTTTTGAAGACTTTGGGAATTCTAACAGGTATTTAAAAATTAAAAAGTTCATTCATATTATTTTACCCAAGAAAAATGTAGAAGTAATATACAAAATGTTTAAAAATGAAAAATGTATAAAAAGTTTTTCTTAAAATATATTTGCAATTATAATATAGTTATAATGCTTAAGTTGTTTAGACTTATTACTAAATTTTTTTTTTTATATATTAATGAGTCTAGATAAAACAAAAACTCATATTTGAATACTTATACTTATACATTTTTCTTAAGCAATGTCTTATAATGCTTATTATCGTGATTTTATAGTTTCGAACAATTTTGCATCAATTATGCTAATGAACATCTTCAGTATTATTTTAATCAACATGTTTTTAAGTATGAACAAGAAGAATATAGAAAAGAAGGAATAAATTGGAGTGATATAGATTTTTTAGATAACACTGGTTGTTTACAAATGATAGAAGGTAAACCAAATGGTTTATTGTGTGTATTAGATGATCAGTGCAAGTGAGTACCTTACTGTACATGCAATAGATGTATTAAATTAATATATAATTTTAATTATTAGTTTTCCTGGTTCATCTTGTGAAACATTGTTACAAAAATTTAACTCTGTTCATAAAGACAATAAATTTTATGAAATGCCTCAACGTAAAGAGAATGCATTTATTGTTCGCCATTATGCTGGAAGAGTTAAATACCAGGTTATTAAAATTTTTATTTTTATACGAGTGAATCTCAATAATACGGCAATATATGGGACCTTAATAGTGCTGTATTACCAGAGATTACATGTAAAATATATTATATACCAATTATAATATTAAAATTATATTGTTGAAAAAAGTTAAATTTATTACATATAACGTTTGTTATTTAGTACAAATAAAAAAACCATAATAAACTTTAAAAAGTCAGTTATATATTTATTATTTCGGGCTTAAATATATTTTCTTAAATTTCTTGCATTTTTTTAGTTGTAAAAGTGCTTTATCTGGCCTATTATTACCTGCTGACCATTTTCTGTAGGTATTCAGTACATTTATAGCATCAATATAATTACCAGTGTGTTGCAATAGTATTATGACATTTAGCTCTATATCTATGTTGTTTTCTTCATACATAATTTCTTCTAATAATTCATCATCTGTCAAAAGTTGTGCATTTTAATCTAATGATCGAGTGAGCCATTCTTTTACAACTTCATCAGTTAACTCAACGGTTGATTTAAATTTTATAGCCAATTCTTTAACAATTTCAAAATTTACCATAACTGTGACAAATTCTTTTCTATGCTTCTACATGTGCTACAATCAGGTATGAGTTTATAGCTATAATTTTTCGAGAATATGTTAATTGTACTAGGTGGTGTCACTTGACTTCAAGCTTGATCCAAATTAAAAATAACACATTTCAAGTTAAGGATTTTCAAGTTATTGGTTATATTGTTATTTTAATTTATAATTCTTAGGATCAGAATTTTTCTGTAATGGCTTTTGATTTGTTGAATAGCAATTTAAAAACAAAATTTTTTACTGCGTGTGCCTCACTATCATAGTATTGGGTCATCAAGATTCACTTGTACTTCTATTTTAAATTTTTAATATTCAAATTTTAATGTATGCCAAATGAGTAGCTAACTACTAAATTATAATAATATCAAATATAAATATATATATCATTTCTTTAATTTTTATTCATAGTTATTACATTAACTGATTTTTCAAGATTAAACTGAAAAATATAATGTTATTAATTATTATTATAATTAAATAGATAGATAATCAATATTATATTCAAAAATAATAATAATAATAAGTATGTTGGTATTGATTTAGGTGTTTGAAATGAGAGAAAAAAATTTAGATTTAATGCGTCAAGACATTGTTGGTGTTTTAAAAAACAGTAGTATGGCTTTTGTAAGAGAACTAGTTGGTGCTGATCCAGTTGCTGTTTTTCGTTGGGCTATTGTAAGGGCATTTTTTAGAAGCTATTTTTCATTTCAAGAAGCAGGTCGAAAACATCGCCAAAGTAGAGGTAATTAATAAGTAATTTAATAAAATTTATTTTTATTTTACTCAAATATTATTTATTTTACTTCAACTCAGTTTAAGAGGGAACAGATGATTTGACTCAGTTTACTCAGTCCTATATTTTCTATGACTAAATAAAATTGAAAATAATAAAATAATAATACAAACATTGTGTAATTATGTGCTTCAGTGAAAGTCTTTAAAACTATTAAATAGGTACATTTGCAATTTTCAACGTTTACTACAATAATTTCTTAGTGACTATCAATAGTTTATCCAAATTAGGCAACCATCTCGGATGGGTATATAAAATACTGGTCTCATAATGTAAGAGTTTATATACTTCAAAGGAGTCCAATTTGCTTTTTGTATCATACATTAATCTTTGTAAAATTTTTAAATAAAATAAACCTTTTTTAAGTCTTAGTTTGTTCTTATTGTCTGAAAATCATCTTCAAAAATATATCTTTCTTCCTAAAGATAATTTAAGATGGGTTGCTTAATCTAAATACATTCAAAACTGTTGGTCTACTATGTGTATCTTTTAAAACTAATTTGATTTTTATGTATATGTAATTTAAGTCCAGAACGTATTATTAAAACTTAAAAATAATTTTAGTAGATGGTGTGAAAGCATCCAGTATATCCTTAAGGTTTCGGAACAGTATGCAAAATGACAGTATAATCAGGTAAATTATTTTTAATATTATAATATTTTTTTAAATTAAAAAATAAAATTAAGATTATTTTATTAGTAGAAATAATAAGAAAGTTAGGTCAGTATTTGAATATTTTAATTATATGTTGAAAATATAATATTAAAAATAACTTAAAATTGAACTTTGAATTAAAAATTTCATATGAGCAAAAAATGTATTGTGTTGTTAAAAATGGGCGGCTTTTCTGGTGAAACTATTTCTAATTAGTAATTACTGAGTTTTGTAAAAAAAATACAGTTCTAACTTAAATACAACAAAATCATGTAAAACATTCAAAAATAAATAAATGAATCACTTAACAATACTTGGAAATATTTCATTGAAGGCCCTAAAGCAATTTTAATAATATTTTTTTTTATATAAGAAATTTTAAGTATTGATCTCTATTTTTATTAGTAATATTTTTATCTAAGTAGCTACATTTCATAACTATATTAAAATGATTTTAGTGTATAAATTTCCATAATTTCCTTGAGATTCATTGTTTTAAAAAATGCATTTTTTAGCTTTGATGCGAAGCTGAGAAGGTATTGGTTTTACTATGTGTTTTTTTTTTTTGTGTCTGTTACCACTTTTTCTCAGTCCCAACCGATATCTTTCAATGATACGTCCAAAGATCACAAATCGTATCTAGTCGAAGACACTACCCTCAAAAATTGAAAAAATTTCCCTCATTCTCCCGTAAATGGGGGAAACCTCCAAAAAAATTACAAATTTAAAAATCGCTAATTTTCGAAATTTTTAAAAAAAAATTTTCTTAAACCTACCATAACTTTTTCAAAAATGAACAAATCAATATAATTTTTTTTTTATAGATGCTTGAAGTCTACCTGTCATTTGGTACATTTTTTTTATAAATTTAATCCTTGACCTGCCCACAGGGGAAGATTTGAAATGACTACTTTTTCAACTTAACTTTTGAAAGTGTTACGGAAAGTCTGACACTTTTATATATATCTTAAATTAAAGCTAATATAATGTACTTTATTATGGAAAAAAAAAATTTGACCTCTAAACTTATGTTTGTGATTAAAATGGCTACCAAATGCTATTTTTGTGTGAAAATTCTGGATTTTATTTTTTACATTTTTAACTTTATAATGCTATGACATATTGAAAAGTGTATGGATCAACACAATTTTTTTATGGGAAATTATATTTTTTAATAATCCTTTTTTCATTTGACATACTTTATCTTAACCAGGATATTAATAAGGAAAAAGCAGATCATGTAGCTTTTGGAATAATCCACCTATTTTTTAATTTTAACACTATCTAAAGATTTACATCAAATTGTTTTTTTTGATAGTGATTTTAATCACTGTCAGATATCATTATACTTGATCCAACTATGCCCCGTGACCACAATGCCACAACCCCCTGTTAGATTTTTTATCATTCTAGTTTAAAAATTATCCTGATAAATGAAATGATATAGATAATTTTGTATTTAAGTTAAAACTATCTTAAATACTTATAAATTATATTGAACCTCTTTTTACAAAATATACATTTTCTATAGTTCACCTATAGCATAATATTACATTACATCGATAGTTAAAAATTAAAACAGTAAGTTAATAGTTTTTCAAATTATTATGATCTCTGAAATATTTTCAAGATATTTGTGAACATTTTGTTAATGTATAATATAATGTAATAAAAGTATTATATTTTTATGCTGCATTCAGTCATTTAGCAACAATGTCATCAGTAAATCTCACCATTAACCGCATAGTGTAAGTTAATATAAAACTTCTATTGAAATGTATGCTAGATGAAAATATATGCATATTTATAATTTATAAATTTCTTAGTAATTTTTGTAGTAGTATTTGTATTAAAAATGCCTGATTTTTATTTTTTATTTTAAATATAGTTAAAGTAGCTTGTATTCCATTAAATCAAACATTTCCAGGTACAACCCAAAAATGTTAGCTAATTCCTCATCCTATGGAGGAGGATATGTTTTAAATATTGGTAAAAAATTGGCATCTAATCCAAACATTGAACAAAATATACATAAAAATCATACTACTTTGAATAAATCTGTCAGTGCAGACACAAATAAATCTTATAAAAGCATAATTAATGAAGATGTTAAAAATCGAAGTAACTACAAATCTGCTGATGAAGATAAAGTGATTGAACGAGCTACCCAAATTGTTATGTATGTCTACTGTAAAATAGGAACATATACCCTTATATTCTATTGGTGTTTGGATACTTTCAAATTTCTAGCTTTATGATATTTTTATTTTTGGTCAAATAAAATATTTTATAATAATTGGATAATTATTAACAATATATAACACATGATCCAAGTATAACATTTTTTGTCTTCTCTCCACTTATAAATCTATTAGTATAATTTAATGAATCATGTGTATATGCATGTATTTTTTTATGCTTGAGCATGAGTTTATTTTTTTCTTTTGAAAACTGGAAAAATTATAATTTGCTTCTTACTAGGTGGTATGTGTGTACATTTTTAACTTTTCTATTTTGATGTTATATTTGTGAATAATATATTTTCAGAGAATATATAATGATAAATATATCTGTAAATGTATAATGCAATTCAAGTAATCTAAATTTAAAAAATGACATAAATTTTCTATAAATTATTTAGGTCTACATTACTAACTTTTGTATACAATTTTAGGAAAAATAAATCATTTAGACCAAAAGATCGTGGTAATAAAGGCCTCAAAAATTTACAAAGTGTAAAAACTCTTGCAGGAAGAGTTCAAGTTCAAGGAACTATAAGTAGTAAAGCTCGTAAACAGCCTCTTACAGTTACAGCTCAATTCCAAATGTCTTTAAATAGTCTAATGGAAACACTTAATCAAGCAAATCCATTTTTCATCCGTTGTATCAAAAGTAATGGTAATAAGGTAAAAACCAATTGAAAATTAATATTATAAAAATAAAAAATGACACAATATTTAAACAATTTAGGTGGCTAATTTGTTTGATCATGACACTGTTCAAAGACAACTCCGTTACACAGGAATGTTAGAAACTGTGAGAATTCGTCAAGCTGGTTACAATGTACGCCTGAGTTATGATGAATTCGTTCAGCTTTATAGAATACTATTACCAAAAGGACTTCATAGGTACTTATATTTATAGTTTACTTATAATATGTTTTTTTTTCAATAGAAAAATTCTGTCTTTCAGTAATTCACAAGATGTCAAAAGTTTTTTACTAACTCTTAACTTAGATCATGACAACTTTCAACTCGGTGAATCTAAAGTGTTTTTACGTGAGTGTGAAAAGTTAAAATTGGATTTTAAACTTCATCAACAAATTATGGCAAGTATTGTAATAATACAACGTTGGTTCCGTACATTATTGCAAAGAAGACAATTTCTTAAAATAACTTGGGCTACTGAAACATTGCAGGTATTCAGAATAGTGAATCTTATAGATAAATTTAAGGTTAACCTAATTCTAAAAAATTTAATTGTTATTATTTATATTTATATTATATTTATTTTTTGTAAGTCTTGGTGGAGAATGATATTAGCTCAAAGGTTTGTAAATAAAATGAGAATGGATGAAACTGCAGCTGTGTATATTCAGTCGGCATGGCGTAAACACAAAGTTTCCAGTTGGTACAAAAATTTAAGGCGTAGTGTTATTACTATTCAAGCTCATTCACGGGGTTATTTAGCTAGACGGAAATTTTCACAGATCAAAAAAATGGTAAATTTATCAACTCTTTCAAATCTAAAATTATATTATTTAATAAACTATATCTACAGAGAACAAGTATATCTGCACCCCAAATTATTAATTCAAAAGAATCAAGTCAAGAAGAGCTACATGATTCTGAGTAAGAACTTTTAATTTTCAGTAATGAATTGGAAATTTAGTTATTTGATAAATTATTTTACTATTAACTAAATTTATTAATTTTTCTTTTACCCAGTGTACGTTAAGAAAATTAAAAAGTATAAATTATTGTTATAATAAGTTTTATTTACTAAGCATAATTGTCAAGATAAAAATTCTCTTTTTGGAAAAGTAAAATGTATATTTTTTTTTTTTTTTTTTCACAACCGTTTGGTTGGTTAATACCAATTGGATTGGTATGTCCTGGGGAAATTTAAGTGCAGTGGTTTCCCGTTGCCTTCTGCACTGGGAACATGGTACTTTTTTCGCCACCGTAGAAGCGCACGCATGGTCACCCATCCGTTCACCTACGGCGATAGACGCAGCTTAACACTAAAGTTTTGTCAACAACTAGTGTGACCACCGCGCCACACCACGCCCCTAAAATGTATAATATATATTAAATACTAGATTTAAGGAGTGCTTGAGATGAGAAGTATTTACTGCTCAGCATAGCATAGGTAGCATCCCCCACCCCCATCCTGCTTTTTATTTGTGGAGAGAGTTAAGCTAAATTATTAATCAAAAATTGTAAAAAAACATTGAAAAGTATTTTTTTTTTTTTTTACGTTATGTTTAAAAAAAAAACAAAAACTTTGAGTTCAATAATCATGTATTTAAATATGGCAACAATACTTTCTAAATAGTTTTAAGTGTTAGATGCCTTTGAATGCTTTTTTATTAATTTCTTATTTTATGATATTTTTTATAGAAGTAGTGGTGCAAAAGGCGATAGTGAATCAGAAGTTGATCCAAAATGTATAAAATTAAAAATACACCATACTACTTCTAGGTATTTATATTGTATTTTATATTATTTAAAATGTATAATAAATTAATTTTAATTTTAGAGATGACCAATTTAGGATACCTCGTAGAAAAATATCAGGGCGTCGTATGAGAATAGAATCAATCCCTGCTGATATAATTCAAGGTATTATTTAATAATAACAAGTTTTTCAAAATAATACAGTTTCATTAAGATGCTATTGAAAGGGATATTGTAAAATTACTTATTATGTGGGATGGTACTTATTATATCATTGCACTTTATATTCTCTTATTGTTTATACATTTATTTCTATTATGATGTCCATATTAGTTACCTTAGATCATTTTGGACTTAATAAGTATAGCTTGATATAATCAGTATTTTAATAATTTGTAAATATGACAGTCTAGTATAATTTTCTGAAATCCGTTGAACTGGTACTCTTATTGTATAGTTTTATTATATTGCCAATGTAAAATTTTTTCAACAGAAGATTAAAAACATAAAAGTGTTATTTGAAATCTTTATAGTCTTCTTCTTCTTTTTCCTCGCCTTAATCCCAACTACTTGGGTCGGCCACCCTTATCCTAAACTTCCACTTGACACAATCTCCCACATCATCTACGCTCATATCTTGTCAACAACACTACACTTTGAACCATTCATCATAGCTGGCCTCACTACAGCTTGTAAAATTTACCTTTTAGACTCATTAAAATTCTTTTATCACATAAGACGCTAGACGCTTCTCTCTACTTCAACCACCCGCACTTAATTCTGTGTCTTACATCCTCGTCAATATCACCACTCTTTTGCACAACTTACCCTAAATACTTAAAACTTTCCATCTCTCCAATTACGTCCTCGCCTATTGTCGCTGACCTCATTTCACCTACCTCGTATTCTCCTTTGTCAAACTCGTACTCTATATACTCTGTCTTACTTCTAATTATTCTTAAACCCTTTTCTTCAAGAGCTGATCTCCACACCTCTAGCCTTTGATTAATTTTCTCCTATTAACTCTATCGTCAGCAAACAATATTATATTGCCAATGTAAAATTTCTTCAACAGAAGATTAAAAACATAAAAGTGTCATTTGAAATCTCTATAGTATAAATGTTATATCACTAAATATTTAACTAAAATAAAATATATCAAGTTTTTGAAAAAAATGAATTAAATTTTGTTTTGTAATATAAAATCAGGATGTTTGATAATTATGATTAATTCATGGCCTGATTATACCCAGTGCAATTTATATTTATGCCTAATTTCAATTTGGTGTGTTTTATATTAGTCTGTTCCAATTTACTAATTTTTTTGTAAAAGTTTGAAGTTAGGCCTGGTACTAAGATAATAAAAATTCAGTCTAATCAAGCTTAATTAAAATTGGGCAGGGTTGATTTCTGTTACCTATTGACAATATTTGTTATATCTCTAATAGCTATTATATCTTACTATAATCAAATAGTACAAAGTAATTTGTATCACACCGTTTGAACTATTTATAAGAAAAATAAAGAAATTTCTTAATTATATTTTATAAATTTTGATATTATTACTCAATTTTTCAGTAAACGTCAATAAAACAGATGGTCCTATTAAAGATGCATCAGCTTTCAGTGATAGCGAAATTGATGAAAATCATATTAAACCAGCTAATAGAATTCGTAATGAAAAACCTAATGAATGTATTAGTAAACGGACCATGTTAACTAGAACTCCACATGTTATCCCTGAACCTACAGCTCCTGCACGTCTTATGAGTAGACTTCGAGTGTCAGCAACAGAATCAACACCTGAGTGAGTTATCTTTATTTTAAAATATTTTTAGAACATTTAAGGTTATCTTTTTAATCATATAATTACTACATATATAAGGCTTGAAACAGATTTAATTAATAATTCTTTTAACTTTTGACACGATTATTATATCACTGTAATTATGATCTGAACTTTCTGGTATATGTATATATATTATGGGGACAAAGTGTAAAATCAGGCATTGTAATAGGTATTGTAATTTTTTTTATGTATATACAAAAAAAAAAATAGTAAGACAGCCTCCTTAATTCACTATTATTGGATACACCATTTATACTAACAAACTTCTCCATGCAATTCATAAATTGATTTCTGCTATAAATATGTATTTGTTAATCTGATTTCTATTAATCTAAACACATTGTTTGCATCAAGTTTAGGATTATATACAATGACCAAGTCTATATAAAAAATCAATTTGTACAAAATGTATGTGCATTGTATACATTTCTTAGGTGCTTTATTACAATGCATTTGTCTGCAATGTATAGCTTATGTTAAATATTTTAGTAGTATACCTAAAATTTTTAAATGTGGGGCTTATGCCCATAAGTGAATCAAATTTTTTTTTTTAATTTGGCTTACATATTTATGTCTATTTCTTAATAATTTTTTATTTTAAATTAAATAAAATATGTTAAAAGTTGTAACAATTATACCAATATTATATAATACTATCTTATAAATGTAAGAATTCTGTAATTTTAGTCCACCAAAAGTAAATGAAAAAGAGTTAAAAAGAAGAAACAGTGATGGTTCCACTGCACATAATATAAGAACAGAAGAACCCAAATTGACTTATTCACCTTCTTTTGAACTACTAGAATGGAAAGGTACTACAATGTTTACCATAGCGGGTCATAGATTTAGAAAATTAGGAAGATTCACACCACAAGATAAGTGCTCATACTGCAATAAACTTATGGATGCATTTTTAACTCAAGGACACAAATGTTCTGGTAAGTATAGTATTAATGGAAATTATCTAGGATATTGATGGATCTGTTTATGTCATATGGGTTTTATAGATATAATTTAATTTTAAATGATATAGGAATATGGTATATTGTATTGTAGCGTGATACCACATATCACCTATTGATCCTTCCTGGTAAGAGAAAAAGGTTATGTTCTCTATGGTGTCAATTATTAGTATATATTTTAGTTATATATTTCATATTTGTATTTTATATAGTGCGTTATAATAAATCTTATTAATAACAGAACGCTATAAGTGGTGACCTCGATTTTTCTTTTGTGCTACACTTCATAACTATGGCCGCCGATGAAATTTCCTATCCGAAAAGTGATTTACAACACGTGTTCGGTCATTTCAAAACGCCAACTTTTTGGATTCAGAACCCAAAAATGTGGTTTTTCCAACTGGAATCACGTTTTGTTACTGCACAAATTATAAACGACGACATTAAGTATCACCATGTCGTCGGAGCGCTGGACGGCGAGTTGCTTGCACACATATCCGACATTTTAGAAAAACCGCCACCAAACAACAAGTACTTAAAACTTAAAGAAATACTTATTGAACGCCTCTCGGAATCCGAAGAAAAAAAGCTCACTGATATCTCAAGCAAAATCTCCTACTTAGTCGATAGTGGTGCTGAAATATCAGTCATACCGCCCACTAAATCTGATACAAAAAAAGAACTAAAACTGTATGCAGCTAACGGCTCTACAATTAACACATATGGTTCTAAAACCGTAGAACTAAACCTGGGACTACGCCGCCCGTTTAAATGGTGTTTTGTGATCGCAGATGTCACTAGACCATTAATAGGGGCAGATTTTATTAAAAATTTTGGTTTACTAATCGATCTAGAAAATAGTAAATTAATTGATAGTGTGACGAACCTATCTAAACAATGCTCAATAATTAAATGTCCAGATTTTGTTGTTAAAACCGTTTACTTTGACCATCCATATGCAAGCATATTGGCTGAATTTCCATCTATCACTAAACCTTTGTCAAACTTAATGACTATCAACCATGATGTAGTACATTACATTTCAACAGTGGGGAATCCAGTCAACTTGAAACCTCGCCGTCTGCCCCCAGATCTATTAGCAATTGCTAAGAAAGAATTTAAAGAAATGGTTGAATTGGGAATTTGTCAACCGTCCAGAAGCGAGTGATCAAGTCCTCTACATTTAGTACAGAAGAGTGACGGTAGGTGGAGACCATGTGGTGACTATCATACCCTCAATAATCAAACAGTACCAGACAGTTATCCTGTTCCACATATACATGATGTATCGTCCATTTTACAAGGTAAGGCCTGTTTCTCTAAAATAGACCTGAAAAAAGCATACTACCAGATTCCATAGCTCCTGAGGATGTCAAAAAAACAGCCGTTTGTACTCCTTTCGGACTATTCGAATTTATTCGTATGCCATTTGGACTACGCAATGCCGGTCAAACTTTCCAAAGGTTTATGCACAGAGTACTGGACGGATTAGATTTTTGTTTTCCTTACATAGATGACATACTTATAGCATCAAACAGTAAAGCTGAACATGAAAACCACCTCAGAACAGTTTTCAAACGATTTGAAACTTTTGGATTGCTATTAAATCTTACCAAGTGTGTACTTGGTGTTGAACAAATTGATTTTTTAGGGTACCGTATCTGTAGCTCAGGCACTACACCGTTATCTCAAAAAGTTCAAGCAATTCTTAATTACAAGAAACCCAAAACTGTCAAAGAACTAAGAAAATTTTTAGGTATGATAAATTTCTACAGGCATTTCTTACCAAATATGTCTAAGTTTCAAATACCACTATTAAATTACCAAAAAGGGAACCTAAAAAATGACAAAACAGAAATTCACTGGAATGAAGAAACAGAAAATGCTTTCCAAAACTGTAAGAAATCTATAACACAAGCCACTTTACTAGTACATCCAAAAAGTGCAGCCAATTTATGTATAAAGGTTGACGCTTCAGATTATGCTGTTAGAGGAGTTTTGAAACAAGAAGAAGACAAAACATGGAAGCCATTGGCATTTTTTTCAAAGAAACTAAGTGCCACTCAGCAAAAATATAGTACATATGACAGGGAACTCCTTGCTATGTATTTGACTGTTAAGCATTTCAAACATATGTTACAAGGTCGGGTTTTTACCGTGTGGAACGATCATAAACCTATAGTTTATGCTTTCAAACAAAAATTAGACAAATGTTCACCTAGACAATTTAGATATTTAGATTTCATTGCTCAATATACTACAGACATTAGACACATTTCTGGAAAAGAAAATATCACTGCTGATTTTCTCTCTAGATTTGATCAGGTTAATGTAAAGACAATTAATTATGAAAAAGTTGCAAAAGCACATATTATATTATATATAATTTATATAGTATAATATTATTAAGTGTAATAGCCAGGTATTTTTTCTCAAGAATGGTTATAAAAAAAAATAAAATAAAAATGTTTTGCTCATAATTTGAAAGACTGATTAAAATGTAAAGTTGATAAGTAAAAAATATTTTAATTATTTTTATTGAATTAAAATATTTTTAACTCAATAAATGATTTAACATCATAACAAATTTCAAGAATAGATAACTATTTTGTGGGGATTTTAATCCCCAACTCCCTTAGTTGTATCATTGATAATTTAAGAAATAACTGATATAGATTGGAAAAGTTACAATGTAAGCTATATTATAAATTATAGAATATTTTTGGAATTTAGACATATACTCAAACTTCTATCCCTATACTACCAAGTGATCGGTTTATCACAAATCACTCAATTACTCTCAAAATTAATACAATATTGAAAAAAAAAAATTTCTTGTATTAAGTTACATATCTTTCTTAATTTTTCAGCTAATAATTAATTTTTTTTATTCTTTAAAATTAAAGGGGTATCAACTTTATTTTTTTAAATGGCAACATACATATTTAACTAGATTATAAAATAGAAAATAATTTAATTAAGAAATTAACTTTTACAATATTAATTTTTGGACCAGTATACATAGGTGGGATGTAGAGTACAACTAGGAAATGACTAGTGATATAAAATACTCCTCACCTCCAGTCATTACTTTAAATTCTAAAATACTAAACAATAAATTGTTATCTACCAGTCATTTTCTTAATTTATATGCCTAACCAAGCCATAACCATATAACTTCATTGCTAACACAATATGCCTCTATCTCAAAAAATGACATCTTAAGTAATCTTTAATTAAAAGTTAACTTTTACAATTTAGTATTCATTTAATAACTTGTTTTCTTTTTTTTCAAAAGATTGTAAAAAATTGTTCCATACAAAGTGCATTCAAAATGGTGGTGTGTTACAAATGCCCTGTATACATCAAAATGGAAATAATAGACCAAATAATAGAAGAAAACCTAGAAAACCTATGTCAGCTGGCAATAAAGCTCATATTACGCCTATCATTACAAACAGTCAAAGCAGTTCAGCTGTTGGAAAGTTTAGTTTAACCGGTACATCCGAATTTACAGATAGAACAGATAAAATTATATCTGATGTTCGTGAACTTAAGCTTATGCAAGATTTCATAACTAAAAAGGTAAGTTGAACATTTTTTTGTTAAGTTAATATTAAATAGAATAAGTATTCTAGAAGTAAGTTTAATGAGTAAAAAAATTTAAAGGTTATTAATTTATTTTTGAAAAAAATAATAATTATACACTAGGCTTTGCCTAGCTGGGGCTCTGCCCCCGACCTGGTGCCCTACGAGCCTTACGGGCAGAAGGTGTGTAAGCCTCTTTGGGCCATCATCACTACTAGGCCACTGATTCTGGTAAGAATACCCGGCAACGCCACCCACGATACGTGTTTTGCAGAAAAAATATTACATCAGACTTGATTTTTTACGATATCTTAGAAATATCCTTAAGCAGGTCTGGTGAAATTTTCAAACCTTAAGTCGTAAGACGCTGGCGTCAGTCATCGTTTTTCTCAAAAACGATCAAAATTTTAAAAGGCTTGCAGAAAAAAATTTCCGACTGTCGCCAATAATTTTCCCAGAGAAGCGTTTTTTCTTATTCTATTATAATTATACATTGTAAGTTTAAATAGTATAAAGTACCTTTACAATGGTATTTTAATAGAGATGTAGACGGGGAATTAATTGTACATCCTTGACTTGAATCTTTTTAAATATAATAAAAGAGTATTTAACATGCTTTAATTAATTAGTATCATGATAAATTCTCATAATATGAAAAGTGAATTAGATTTTCAATATTATTTATTAAAAATAAAAACACAAGCAAGTAGTTTTAATGATAAAAATTGAAAGATGTATTCTGTGTGTAAAAAAAAGAATGTATAAATATTAAAGCAGGTCATGAAATTTGAAAAAGTATTTGAAGAGTGAATGTGTCAAACGTTCTATGTGCCAAAAAAATATTTGTTCAGAAAACACAAAAAACATCATAAATTAAAAATTTTCTTATAATTTTGTATAAAAATATATGTTATGCTATATTTACACTATATTAATAGCCTCGTAAATTTCTATTATTTTATTTTGTCATTTCATATTAGTATAAATTAAACATTTGCTAATGACAGTTCCAAGTGCCAAGTATTATAATATTAAAGTTCCAAGTTCCAAATAATGTGATAATATTATCGTTCCAAGTACCAATATTTTATTATAGATAATAGAAAATCATTCGTTATTAATTAAGACTTCATATATATTTTTATAAAATATGTAAAAAAATCAACACTTTTTTTGAGTATCACAGATTGAAAAATAAATGTACAAACTTAAATAAAAAAATACTCTTAATTTTATTAACTTTAATCTAACATGACATTGTCAGTAAATCTCAAAACGTAAAATAAAATTTTTTTTCATATAAAAATGTAACAAGAAAAGAAAACAGTAGCTTTCTTGAGTATCACAAATTGAAAAATAAATTAACAAACCAAATAATAATTTAAAAAAAAAAACCCAGCACAGGGGGGTCGCGGCACAGTTGTGACGTGGTATAGTTGGATCAAGTATAATGATATCTGACAGTGATTAAAATCACTATCAAAAATAAACGCTTCGATGCAAATCTTTAGATAGTGTTTAATTTTAAAAAAATTGGTGTTTTATTCCAAAAGCTACTTGATCTGCTGGTTCCTTATTAATATCTCGATTAAGATAAAGTATGTCGAATGAAAAAGGGTTTATTAAAAAATATTATTTCTCATAAAAAAATTGTGTGGATCCATAAACTTTTCAATAAGTTATAGCATTATAAAGTTAAATATAATATAAATAATAAAATCGAGAATTTTCACACGAAAATAGCATTCGGTAGCCATTTTCGCCGTGAAGACAAGTCCAGAGGTCAAATTTTTTTTTTTCAAATTAAAGTATATTACATTAGCTTTAATTTAAGATATATATAAAAGTGTCAGACCTTCCGGAACATTTTCAAAAGTTATGTTGAAAAAGTAAATTTATTGTGAAAAAGTTGTTATTTTAAATCCCCCCCTGTAGGCAGGTTAAGTGTCAGATTTACAAAAAAAATATACCAAATAATAAGTAAAGACATCCAGCATCTATATAAAAAAAATTATATTGATATGTTCATTTTTGAAAAAGTTAGAGCATTATTAAGTTAAAAATATTAAAAAAATTTATTTTACCAAAATCGTATTTTTTTATTAACTTTGATGTCAACTTTCACCACGAAGACAAGTCCAGAGGTCAAATTTTTTTTTTTCAAATTAAAGTATATTACATAAGCTTCAATTTAAGATATATATAAAAGTGTCAGACCTTCCGGAACACTTTCAAAAGTTAAGTTAAAAAAGTTCTACTTTTTATATGCATTTTTTATATTTGAAGCCCTCCCATATATAGGGAAATAATCTGCTGTAATTTAAGTCTGGACTTAAGTACTCTTTTTTAGATTTATAACGACCATAGTGACTAGCATTTCTAGGAAAACTGTTAATATGATCAATGATTTGTTGTCTATTTTCATTACTAAAACTTTTTCGTTTAGGATTACCTAACCGAGCATCTTTATAAACTGATAAACCTTGTTTTTTTTTCGATTGTAAAGTTTGCAGAAATCTATGTTTTACACCGAGAATATTTTGAAATGTGGTTTTGCATACTTGACTAACTCCTCCTTCATCATTTGGAATTGTATATTTTATTGTGCACTGTTTATGACTGTGTGATGGATGTGAGTATTGACCATGACGACGTCTGTTTATTTCGGTAACCTGAATTAGTCCTAATATGTAGGTACCCTGTTCACTATCATTTGCTAAACGGTGGTAGTCATTAAACAATTTCAATTTCCACTCCCATGAAATATTTTTGCATTCATATTTGCATTTACATGTAGGCTACAATGTATAATAAAAGTGATTTTATAACGTTTAATGAATAATTTTATTATATTATATTAATTAGGTACTAACCTCTAATAACGGTGTCGGGATTTCCTGAATTGTATTATTGCTTTTCCTGGTCGCATACGATTTTCCACTAATTCTTTTTTTAGTCTGATCATTTCTTCTTTTTTTACCACTTCGTAAAATATGTATACTTTCAGTATCCATAATAACACAATTAAACAAATGAAAAAGAAAACTTAACGAATACAACACCAGTATTAGTTATTTTGAAATATAACGGGCTATATCATAATATTGTAATCATCAAACTATTATATTCTCCCAAGGCACTTAAAACGTACAGGTAACAAAGGGCATGTCTCACAGAACAAATACAATCTATGAACGCAATTTTGTACAAGTAAAAAATTTAATTGACACTTGAAACACATACAAGATTGTGACCTTTGGCACATAGAACATAAATCAGAAATAAAACAATTTNGTGTAACCTTTGGCACATAGAACATAAATCAGAAATAAAACAATTTTTCAATTTTTTGGCACATAGAACGTTTGACACATTCACTCTTCATTTTATGATTTACATTATTATTTAAATGTATTTATTATATTGGTTATTTATTTGATATATCTTCTTTTTCTTCGTCTTCATCCCAACTATTTGGGGTCGGCCACCCTTATCCTAAACTTCTTCTTGACACTATCTCCCACATTATCTACACACACATTAGCCATCCTCATGTCGTATTCAATAACATCTCACCAACTTTTTTTTGGACTTCTTTTTCCTTCAATATTCATTTCCATAACTGTTCTTACAACTTTCAATTCCTCTCTTCTAATAACATGACTAAACCATATAAGTCTATTTTTTCTCATCTTATCCACGATTGACGTTACACCTATACTTCCTCTTATAAGTTCGTTCCTTTAACACATCAGACACTTCTTGCGCCGACTCCCACTTAATCCTGTATCTTATATCCTCGTCAATGCCACAATTCATTTGTACAACTGATCCTAAATACTTAAAACTTTCCACCTTTTCTATCATGTCTTCATTTATTGTCACTGATCTCCTTATATAGATTATATATATTCTGTCTTACTCCTATGTATTTTTAATCCCTTCAAGAGCTGATCTCCACACCTCTAACCTTTGATTTATTTTCTCCCTATTTTCTACTATCAACAAAATTGTCAACGAAGAATATGCACCACGGTACCTCTCCTTGTATTACTCTAGTAATTTCATCCATCACCACTTTATATATTGATTGATATATGACTTACCTCTGTATAGAAGATTAGTTAGACTAAGTTAGACTAGTTAGCTAGACTAGTTTTAATACATTTACTTATATGGCTACACTATAATCTTTTTCTATATGATTCTTATAATAATAAATCAGATACCTACGAGAAAGGATTTACTAAAATACTGTTTTTTTTAACTTACCAAATATTTAAAAAAATTATTATAATAAATTAATTCCACCAAGTACTTAAAATTTTTAAATATATTAAATTAATTATATTTAATCAGTAACGAATTTTTAGGTATATTATTTTAGGACTTAAAGTGTTCTAACCATCCCTTTAATTCTTTTATTGATTTAGTTTTTGTCAATAAAAAAATTGTGTATATTCTATTTTTTAAGAATAATTTTTAGGAAAAAAATTTAATTAGGCCTATTAGTTGTTTTTTTTTCAACAATACGCCAAAACCTTATAATTTTATAGTCTAAGTTTCTTTATTCAATATAGTGATTTTGTAAAAAAAATTGTTATTTTTAAATACAAGGTTTAATTTAAACATTAAAAAAGATTGTTCATTGAACAAAAGAAATAATTATTTTTCTGCATACCTACTGGTTACTCATAAATAAGCTTCACTTGTTTTTATAGTTTTAATTTATAAACATCATTTATTGCAAACATGCAAATATTTAAGTACCCAAAAAGCTCATGAATTTTTTGTTTATTGTACATTAAATACTATATTTATTTAATATTAAAAATTATAAAATACTATTTCTTCATAATTCTTAATTAATTAATCATCTAAATGATGCAATTTTACTCTTAATAATTAAATAAAAAAATTATGTAATGATATATTTGCAAAATTTAAATTAAAATTGGTGCATTTTTATGAGTATACATATTATCATTATTATGTTGATTATTACTCCTATTATAAACATAATAGCTCTAGTGGGTTGAGGTACAACATAAATCGCATATACCGAAGTGTGAATTATTCTAACAAGTGTATATAGTCTAAATAAGTTCATTGCTAACATTTCTGCTGGTCTGCTTGCGACAAATAACAATCCAGTGATAAGAAATATCGGTATATTTTCTAAATCATTCAAGTGAGCTCTAAAAAGGTTAAATAAATATTTGAAAGTTAAATATATTTTATAGTTCTTTATGCTAAATAGTGAAAATTACCGTCTCACTCTTTCAATATCAGGGTCATCATATAAAACTTCTCCTGTGCTCGCTTTGATCGGATTAAGTGTTAAGTCTTCGGGGCTTATAAAAACCTTTGAAAATATAAATAGTACTTTTAAATAATAATAAAAGATTACAAACGCTAAATTTAATTAAAATATTAATGGTTATATTATTAAATTTTGTTCATTATTCTATTTCTTTTTACTTTATAATTATTTTATTTGAATTATGAAATTTCGTTAAACGAGAATATTTCTAAATTCGCTTATAAACTGTAACATTAAATATAAACGTTTATGCAATGTAAAAGTCAATCTTAGTAATCATTGTTCTCAGGGACTTGTCTTAAGAGGAGATATACAAAAAAAAATTTTATTATCTCTCCAAAATACACCTTTATCGTATATCTATTTTCATCGTTGAGGAGGTTCTCTTCCTCCTTGGAGAACGCTCATAAATCAAACATAATTTGTAACTAATGAGCTGAATTTCTAATATTTTTTGATTCACCATATGCTTTGAAGTTAGTAAAATTTTAAATTGTTTTACTTCAAATGAAAGCTTGATTTTGTGTATTTTATCGAACAAAATAGTGATATCAAGTGTTTTCAAGTTTTATTTTTGTTATAATAATAATTCATTAGGTAAAACTCTCACGCTTTTAAAATTCAGGCTTACATATTCTATTACATATAATTTTAAATTATAAAAATTAATAAACGTAATTAACAATTATTACGGATACGGTTTTCGGATTCTCATTGCTAAGCTTACTCAAGCATGTACCTAAGATTGGTGTAGCCAAGTTTCTCAATGAAGTCAGAAAATATTCAACATATATTTTTGATTAATTTTTTTTGCTCATCTCTTCATTTTAAAGATGAATATTGCGGTCAGTAGGCGAACATGGACCCTACGGTCTTTGACTACACCACAATCTAAAGTGAATAGACCGTAATAAAGTATGAAGAAATTGAACATTCATTCATATTTAAAATGTTTCTTAAATGTGATTCATAGTTTAAAGATTATAAGTCAAAATTAAGAAAAAATTTCTTACTAAATCGCTAAATTATTTAATATGATTGTTTTTTATTCCATATAAATTTCATTGGGCAAATAAAAAATTAAAAAATGGAAGAAAATGAATAAATATTTGAAGGTATTAAAAATCTGAAGAAATAAATTTAATTTTGTTAAAGTTCGCTTAGTTAAGAAGTTAAATATAAATAGCTTGAATAATATAGACATATTGTAAGTGATTTAGTACATAAAAGGATTGTCTATATCAAAAAGTGTTATCAGACGAGAGTTGTTTACCTTGTCAAATGCTTTAGAGAAATTGATCGTTTCGACAACAGCGAAAGAAGTCGTTATTAGAAAGGAATGAATAAGATTATACGAGAACGGTTAAACTGAAACTACGTTGTTCGACAGAAAGTGTGTTTTTTTAGTATTTTTACTTAGTTACAATTAGACCTCTAAGAAATTTTTATAATAAATAACTTTTATATATAGTAAAATATCAATTTTTGTTCATAGAAAACTTTTTAGAAGTTAAAAGTCATTTTAAGTATTAAATAAAGATAAAAACACTAACGTTACTATGACATCAACCTTTGAAACATTTATTCTTACCTTTTTCTTCATTCTTTGGATTATAGTTAAAAAAGACATGAGGATCATTTTTAAAATTAATATACTACTGTAAAAAGCGTAACATTCGAAAACAGGATTTTCCATTGTGAACGATGAACTTAATTGAGCCATATTTCTTTTATTATGTCAAATTTATTCTTAATTATTGTTTCTCAAACGTTAGACAACAACGTGCATGTTACCATTTAGCAGGACTGTGTTTAACTGATGGTAACTCAAAACTACTGCTGTAGTGTATTCGAATAAAAACCCCCCACTTTTTACTAATATTCCGGTAAATATTCTCCATCATATACAACTATATTTATATAAAAAATAATTATCTAGGATAAGTATATACTTCGTCGTCGTAGAAGTAATGATTAATAATTTTTTTATTTAATTTTTCCATTTGTATAGTAACATTTTGTTTTTATTTTTAATTGATTTATTAAGAAAAAAAAATTTAATACCTACAGTAGTGTTAATTAAAATTTAAAAGTATTAAAAAAAATTATTTTAACAGTATCGTTTAATGTTTCAGTTAGTGATGTAGCCAGGTTTTAACTATTGTTACAATATATTGTAGCAATATTATTTGTATGATTTTGCTAATTATAAAAAAAATTTAAAGTTTCGAAAATAATTTACATTAATTCGACAACCATATGATGTTAAATGTTGCACGTCTTAGTATATTTTAAAAATATTGAGTTTTCATGTCTATAAAAATAAAAAATATATAAAGTATTTTATATTTTGGTTTGCCAATTTCATACATAATGTATGCATGTTCGATTTATATTTGCTATGTTAAAATAATTACTCGTACTAGTGGGTTATTGATTTTATTTAACTAGTCTAACGTTATCGATTTCTATTATACTTTACATTTTTAATACCGTTGAATTCGATATCTAGGACATTGGTTTTGTTTTAACCTTCCTCTTAGTGTTGAAAACCCATAAAATTGTATTTTGTGGCGCACTATGCATTCTCGAAAATAAAACTAATAGATAAAGTTAAGGGTTCACTTTTGGTACTAGCCTTGGACATGTGATCACATAAAAGTTTTGATAATCGGGTTCCAAATTCTGCCATCCTATATGGAAAATATTGAAGACCTATAACTTCTTTAAAGTGATCAACAAGAATAATTTACAACAATGCAAGATATTCAAATGTTTTTTAACGATAAAAATTATAAGACTTATTTTTTTCAGAACTGTCTCCAAACTAATTGCTCTAGACACCTGCCCCCCACGACCAGTCTTCAATACATTCCTACGTATAACGTTATATAAGATTAACATAGTTACAGGTGATAGATAAAGATAATTATATGAAAATCTGTATATTTCGTTTAGTTTAAACTTTACGAAAATTTCGAATAAAGTAATAATAATTTTCAAGTTATATTTCGCGAAGAAAATATTTTATAAAAATAGTTTTAACTCTACTTGAATATAAAAATTAGGTTAAAATAATAATTGTTAAATTTTCTGTTTTATATTTATAATTGAACATCAAGCATTCAATATTTTCGTGTTTAGTAGGTAATGACTGCATAATTATTATAGATAATCTCGTATTTAATAATATAGTTATATATTCTAATTATAGCTTTTATTTATTAATTTTTTTAATAACTGCGATAGCACAAACCATTGATTTATAGTTATACATTTAATTATTTACAATATTTACAAAAGTTTTACAATAATATGTTTTGGTTACATTAAATAAGAGTTATTTGAAGATGATGAGTTTTGAATTCAAGATTTGGTGTTTGGTTCTTGCTTTTATTTTTTGTTTAAATCGCTACTAGATTAAAATTTTTAAGAATAATTATTATTACATAACCTTTAATGTCATGTTATTTAAATTATGATTTAAAAAAAACCTTAATAAAAGAATAAATATGATAAAAGGTGCCATGAAAATGTTCAATAATCAATTTATTCTTATTTTAGTTGTACAAAATAGAACGTGAAGAAGTAAAAAAACCATCGCATGTTGATAAAATATTCAAAGAAGCACTGCGAGAATTTAAAGATAATCTTATTGCAACATATAGTGTTGCAAACAAACAAGGAAATGGACAAGTTCTTAACATCAAATATAAAGATTTGATCGCTAATTTTTTGCATGTAATTAAAATATTTTTTGAAAACATACTAAAAATTTTTGTTTTATATCGATCAGTATTTTAATGTTAAATTATTATTATTAGGTCATTGAAACTGTTTGTGGTAATGAAAAAATTCAAGATGACTTTCCAGTAACACTATGTGTAAATGCATTCCGCGGTTTTATGAATGAGTTCATGAATCAAAATCGAGTTGATACTGAAAAGCCTAGTAAAGGAAAACGTAAAAAAGAAAAAAAAACAAAATCAGAAGATCATATTACTCATGGTGGACATATTTTACAAATGAGTATGATAAATATACCTACTGCATGTGAAGTTTGTACGTCATTCTTTCTATGGCCTATTGAAAGGAGTTTGGTTTGTCGAAGTAAGTGAAAGCAATATATTGATTTTTAATTTTTTAAGTATAATTGTATGAATTATTGTAGATTGTAAATTGACATGCCATAAAAAATGCTATCCTCGAGCCAACAAGGAATGTTTAAAAGATGTAAGCTCAAATATTCAGTCAAAAGGCAGTTTTGTAGTCAAAGGAAAAGTTTTTGGAAGACCCCTATGTGAGTTAGATCTAAGTATGGGAAAAGTACCTGCAGTTGTTGAGTGCCTAATTACAATTATTGAAATGTATGGAATGTATACTGAAGGAATTTATCGTAAACCAGGAGTATGTTTAAATAAACTGTTTTTTTTTTTTTTTTTTATAAAATAGTTATTTAATAATTGAAAATATTTGTTTAAGCTTACAACTCGAGTGAATGAACTTAAAGAACTTATAGATAATAATGATGTAAGCAAAATAGAATTTGAGAAATATCAGGTTTGTTTAATTTATTTTATTAAAGTTAAATTAATATTAGTAAATACACTATTTATATTATTTCAGGTTCATGTTTTAGCTAGTGTTCTTAAATCTTTTCTTCGTGACATGCCAGAACCATTATTAACATTTGATTGTTACGATGATTTTATTCGTGCTGCTAGCTTATCAGAAGATAGAGTATCAACTTTGTTCAATATTTTAAAAAAATTGCCAAAAGTCAATTATGACTTAATGGAAAGACTTGTTTTTCATCTTGCCAGGTAATTTCAAAATATTATTTCAGTATTAACAATGTATTTAATAAAAAGTTATTTTTTATTTACAGAGTTGCTTTGCATGAAAATGTTAACCGAATGAACGCAAGTTCATTAGCCATAGTTTTTGCACCTTGTGTTTTGAGGACTAATAAATTAGTACCAGCACAAGAATCACTGCGTGATATTGAACAACAAACTTTATGTATTAGCTCTATTATAAGTCATCAAATGGACAAAATTAAATCAACTTTAGCTGATATTGACACATTAGATACTGCTCATCATACTGCTACTCACCGCTTATCCTCTTTACGAATTTCTAAAGTATGTGCTTAAAAGTATTATATAATAATAATTAAGCTGTGTTAAATTATAGTGACTTTTATGTTAAAAAGTGATTAATTTAATATGTTTGGTCTTACTATAAAATTAATAGCTAAGTGGTTTTTATCTAAAAGTAATAGCATTTTAATTTTATATCACTCTTTGATACTGGAATTGTAACTATTTTAAATAAAATGTGTTTATAATTATAATTACAGGTGTATGGGCCTACTGAAGGACCAGGTAAAATGGATGAGGAAGAAAAAATGTTAGTTGGACAAATACATGAAATTAGAAAAGAAAAAGATTTCTTAACATCAAATTTACCAAGTTTAAGACGCACTAATTCAGATGATGATCTTTTATCAACTGATGACGGTAGTTTAGATGATGTTGATGCCAGTGTGTAGATGATTATATAAACTGTGTTACTTCATATCTAATTTTTTTTTTTTTTTTTTTAGATTCTAGTACAATTGGAAGTCGTAAAGCTAAACTAAGAAATGTTACAAAAAAAGTAAAACGATCTAGTAATACTACAATAGACAGTGATGAAGACCCTATTATGGTTTGAATACTAATTGAAAAATACTATATTTTAACTTTTTATACCGACAATTTTTTTTTATGTTTATAATAATTTATCAATTAAATCTTAAGTATATTTTGTTGTTGACTTGATAAAATAATTGAGTTGTCCCAAAGGCTGTTACTTTTGTATAACTTGTTGTTTTTGTGAAATAGTATATTTCCTTTATTAATTGGATAGTTGGTGCTATGTTGTTATTTATTATTTTTAATGATGGTGTACAAAGATATTGTGTTTTATACAAAAAGACTGTTACAAGAAGGAGTTGTGGTTTATAATTCTATTATTTGTTATTATTTCTTTAGAAATCATTTATCAGATATAAATTACAACAAATCAAGTTTTTTACATACTTAAACAAAATTAACATCAACACTTAGATTTGTATAATCAAATATTTAAGATATAAAAGAAATATTCTTACTCCTTCTCAAAAATTTGTTAAACTATTTTTATGAATTTTTTTTTTTAATAAGTATGAGACAATTATTTTTTTAATCTAAAATATTATATATAAAAAAAATTTTAAATGACTGATATTATATAATAATTTAAAATACAATTTCCAAAATATATTATTATAATTTAAATTTATATTTGCAAACTACTTAATGATTAATCCAAAGTTGATTGAATATAATTTGAATTAATAATTGCAATATGATAACTTTAATTTTAAAAATTAAAGTCAATTCGAACAAATTATTAACTACTATTCTTAGTTGGTTTATAAAATTCATTAATTTGAAACTGAACAAACAATAAAGTGTTCATTTTTTTCTTTAAATTATCTTATTGAGACATTTTATAACTTTATCTTTAATTTTATTTATTTGAGAATTGGATTATATTTAATTTAGTACTTCAATATTTTATAAGAATACTTATAATTTTTGTAAAACATTTTGAAATTATTCTATGCCAGTTTTACACTTAATGAGGTCTGATTATTTTTATTTTTTTCTTTATACAACTTATATTGTTAGACTATTATAAATAATTTATGTAAATAATCATAATTGAATCATATATAAATTCTACAAAATTTGTGAAAAGTGTTAAAAATATATATTATATATATTTATTTGTTGTTAACATTAACAATTGTTAAATAATATAAGTACTTATTCCACCAAAAATTTCATTGTTTATGAATTTTAAATATTACTTTTTTTATTTTAGTACTACTTATTTTCATATTAGTTATTAATTTTACATTCCTGTTATTTTTTTAAAACAATTTCATATGTATTACCTTGATATTTTAAATATTTTACTATTATAATAAACTACACCTATAAATTGTAACAGAAAGTTCAGTTTTTTTTTTTTTTGTTAAGCTGTTACACTGATTGCATAAATAATTACTTCTAATATTAATGTTGTGTAGTCCTATGTAATATTATCTTATCTGTGATCTATCTTCCAATATTTTTTGTAATAAATTTGATCATGTATTTTTATTTTGTACTGTTGTATAGCTTAAAAGTGTATATACTTGTAAAATAAATTGTTTAATACTACAACTATTATTTTCTATTGTGTAAATAACTATAGAAATTTGACTTCTGATTTTTATTATTTTCTAGCAAAATACAAAACAATGTAATATGTTTATGTAAATTATGTTCGCTCAATACTTATTTTTGAACTAATTATTTATTTTTAATTTTATTAATTTATTTTTTATTACAATAGAAATATAGTTATTAGGCTATAAATATGTAATTAAAACTTATTATTACATTACTTCTTTCATAATTATCCATTAACTTAAATCATGGAATTTACTTAACTATAATAATAAAGTTTTAATATAAAACTTATTCTTTGGTACTTGAATTAAATTAATGAATATGTTATAGAAATTCACATTTAAAATAATTATTAATAATTGTTATAAAAATGTTTTAATAATGGTCATTTGATTAATGTATGTATCTACAAGTATAACTAATTAAAAAAATATTTATCTGGTTCGTTCACAAGCTTCAACCAATAAAAAAATTTTTTTTTTTTTTAAACTTCTATTTTTTTATAATGAGTTTATAATAATTATACAGATTTGATCAAAATACATAAATATTACAATTAAATTTAAAATACTTTGCTGTATATAAACACATAAATATAAAGTAAATTTCTGTAAATTAACCTAAAGGATGATTATTAAGACGTAATTAAATTAAATTAATATAATTATAAAATACTAGTTATCCATTAAAATACTTTCAATGATCCATATAAAAACAACTTTTTAAGCCATTTCACCTTAGTTAAATACATCTTTTTTTATTTTTAATGATGAAGTGTAAAAATATTTGTCAAGATAATTCACGAATCTCTGACAAAAAGACTTAAAATTCTAGACTTTATATATTATATAAAGATACAATAAGATAAGACATAAAATTCTAATTCCCCTATTAAATAGAGGCATTGCCTACTATGCCTAATGAGAAATATGAAGCAGAGTATTAAAAATTAAACAAATGCTTAATTTAAGTCCAAATGTTAACATCTTTAATAAAAAACTATTATTCATGTTGTAGTCTATTCATAATAATTTTACTATAATTAAATATCTCATGAGCTTTCAATTATTTTGATATTTTAAAAGAAGTGCGATATATTCATAATTCCAGTTTGAAAAGAAATATTTTGCAAAAAGAAAAAATATTGCATGATGTAAAATTGTAAAATAGGACACAGATCAATACCGATATCGATCTGAATTAGTAATTACATATGCTGTTCTCATAATCACCAACTTCATGAAAATTCACAACATATTGTGATAGTTGTCTTAGTTAAACCATTAATAATTTGTGTAGATTCGTTACCATAAAAGGAGTTAAACCAGACAAGAAGACGATGACTCAACAGTGGTAGCCTTCGTAGTAGTAAAGTATATTTATATGATTTCTATTACTTAAATATTATTGATTTATATTACTGACATTATACATGCTTAAGTTTAAAAGTGTTTTACTAGACTAGTATTGAAAGTCGAACATAAATTACTTAATGATAAGTCCACAGATATCGAATAAACCATATTGAATCATATTTTAAATGCATCATCAACGCATCAAATTTTGATTATAAAATAATAATAACAATCTTAAATAAAAGAAATCTTATAAAAATTACTATGAGTATTAGTGCAAATTGAGCCACCGGAAGAGCTAAAATATCAGAAAAATTACTTATAAAAAAAATTTAAGGAGGGTAAATTCCATATAATGTGCTCCTTCAAACATTTCATTGAAATTGCGCTTATGACATTATGACTAAATTAACGATAATTTTCTTAAATACAATTGAGAACATCTTTATAGTAACAAATGTATAAGTATTCAGAAAGGCTCTCATAAAAGCAATACCACTTAAGGGCATGTTTACTGCTACGTTTCATGGTCAAATACATACATGTTAAACTCTTTTTTTAATTTAATTATTTTTAATAACTGGTAGACAACTGTTTAATCTTTTTAATAAAATCATAATGAATAAATGTATATATATTAGTATAGGATTAGTAAGATACGTATTTAGAAAATTAGATTTCCATGGTCTAATAAAATTGAAAAACTGAGAGCAATATGTTTGTAAATTAACGTTAGCAAAAAATGAATGGAATTATCTATGTCCCCCTATAATAAATATATATTGTAAAAAAAATTTTTTTTTAAGTTAAACACTTTTTAGAGTACTCTAAATAAATTTTTTTGTGTGTTAAGAATTGAATATTCTTATAAACCTATGATAAAGACAAAAAAAATAAAAATACTTCTCTTTAACGAATATAAAACGAATGGAAATTTAACTAATTTCTTCTAGTTACTCAATTATTACTAAAAATTTTAAAAAAATGTCTGACATTCGTTTAGGAGTAGTTTTGTCCGACGATCATAGATTTACATAAAATATAAGCTATATAGCTTACAAAAAGAATATAAGAGAAACTTTAAATGGTAACCAAATTATTCACTAAAAATAAGATATAAGTGTGTGTATATATCGATATAATAAATGATCATTTAGGTTGATAAACAACAAAATAGGTTATCCCGAGTTTTTGGAGCAAATTAACTTCAAAATACTTAGACTTAACTCACGTTATTTGCGGTTATTTTATATATGTTATAGCAATAAAAATCTTGTAATTCATTACACACTTAATCGTATGTTATCTACATTTTGTAATGAATTTATTGAATTTGATTTTAATATTAATTAGAAGAACATTTTACTGGTGACTACTAGTCCTTAAACCAAATAAGTGTATTAAAATATAAGTCTTTTAATTGTTCTGAATATTATGGTGAAATTAAAAAAAAATGTTATCAATGATATTTATTAAATAATGAATTGCTATTAATTATATTTCTCATATATTATGTTCAATAATTGACGTAGATCGTTTTTGCGACATGTGTTCCTTTTTTAAAAACATTACGTGATATAACTACGTTCTAAGTATTCATTAATGTATTCAAACAATTTCATAGAGATACTTTATATATAATTACAAAATCTATGATTTCTGTAAGTAGTATAATAATGCATTTAATTAATCATGTTATATTATTATATATTAAATTATGATGTCTGTAAATTAATAATTAATTTAAGATTGTAAATTTGTCATAATTATTACTACAATTTTGCAATCTTAAGAGCAATAAAACATAACTCCAAGGCATAACAAAGTTACTAATAGATAAACGCTGTTCTGAAATTAATCTACTTTGACATTTGACAAAACAACCCTAACACAAAAGTATTACCTTATAGGAAAGCCAAAAAAAAATCCATATCAGCTTCGAATTGAAACTAAAATCACAGGCTAACATATTATAGTATAATCTGTGCTAATATGTAATAATTATTATCACCATATTCTATTTTACTAAATTATCAATAAATCAAAAATGTGTTTAAAATTATACACTAGAAGACACTGATTATTTTGAAAACTTATTATAAAAATTATTACAAATACATTTAGTAACTGTTAGGGCCGCTATGAAGTTTTTTAGTTAAATCATATTACCATTGCTACATTTAATAGGGCAGTGCCGGCTACTAGATAATCCAATTGGTCTAAGGCCTTGTCTTATATTAAAAACGTTTTATTTTATAGACTGTCTTCAAAAACTTTTTCCATAAAAAACAATTTTCATGGTCTCTGAAAAATTTAAGATTAATCCTAACCTAAGCATGTGCATGTTTCAATATAATATAAAAAAACTCAAATATTATTTAAGTTTCGTAGAACTCAGTTTTTTTTTTTAATTGCGTTCCAAAATAGTTATTACAAATCAAAAATAAAAGTTTTAATTTAATTTTTTTTTATTTAAATCAATAAATGATCTAGAAACAAAATACAATTTTTGCTTAACATATAAAAGTTACATACATGTCCAATATAAAATGCGAATAAATAGTTTTTGGGGGCTTCAATTCAGTGATAGGCATAATCGAATTGTTAAATTAGTAATCAAATTATTTCTATTATGAGAATAATCGAGTTATTTCGATTATCACAATTATGATCGTTTCATTTTAATGATTAATTTTCAACAGTGGCCGTCAAATGATTTTTGCCAGATGAATAACTTTATGATAAATATCATTTTTGGAGCTGTGCCCCAATATCCCAGAGCTTTTTTATTTGTATTTTTATATCTATATAACATAGCAATTAATAATCCATAATAACATATTAAGCATTATTAGATATGAATTAATGTCTTTCTTCTAATTAAACCTATTTAAAATTATATATTTATTTTAGAATAGTACCTCGATAAATTTACCAACGTATAAATAACAATCAAGACTTAAATTTTAATCTATTAAATTTGTAGAATTAATAATTGTTTTGTATTTAATCTATTCAATAACTTTTATATTGAATTATGATATATAAAATTTTAAAAATATAATAAAAATTATACAAAAATGTCAAAAAAGGAATGCTAATGCTTAAGAGGATCTATCTCACCAATCTTCTGCCCAGGCACGTAGCCAGAAAATGTTTATTGGAGGGGCCAACAATTTTGGGCCCTTGTATCATTTTCCATAATTTGTTTCCCATGAAAAGCTTGTGGGGGGGGTTCCTCCACTCCTCCTTAGACAGTATCCTATTCTATGAATCTTACAAGTTCAAAATTTGTGTTTATTTTTAAAAAATTGGTGGATTATTCCAAAAGCTACATGATCTGCTAGTTCATTATTAATATCCTAATTAAGATAAAGTATGTCGAATGAAAAAGGGATTATTAAAAAATATTATTTCTCATAAAAAATAATGTTGATCTATACACTTTTCAATAAGTTATAATATTAAAAAGTTAAAATGTAAAAAATAAAATCAAGAATTTTCACACGAAAATAGAAGTCGGTAGCCATTTTCACCACAAAGACATGTCCAGAGGTCAATTTCTTTTTTTCAAATTAAAGTATATTACATTAGCTTTAATTTAAGATATATATAAAAGTGTCAGACTTTCCGGAA